GAGACGCGCTCGCGAAATTTTTTTTTTGCAAAAAACCCGAATAACCCGACCCGAATAACCCGACCCGACCCGAATGCCCACCCCTAACTATAGATAATTGTAGACAACTATAGTCACTTGTAGTAACATATAGTTATATGTTTGTTATGTGTTTTTTAATGTATAGTAATCCGTGTTCATGTTTTGAAGATTATATGCATGTGATTGTGTTTTTTTTGGGGGGGTTAGATGATTATCAAGATTAAAATTGTGAATTTTGTTGTTGGTGTAAATTAATTTTGTGGTAAAAAGACATTACATGATTACATATAACTATACGTGACTGTGGTATACTATAGTTAGGTGTAGTATACTATAGTCATGTATAGTCAATTTCAGTACAATAAATTTATCAAAAAAAATAAAAATTAAAAATTAAAAAATTAAAAAATTAAAAAATTAAAAAAATTAAAAAATAAAAAAAAATTAAAAATTAAAAAAATAAAAAACAAAAAAAAAACAGAAAAAAAATACAAAAATAATACAAAAATGGGTATGTATAAAAAATAATAATAAAATAAACATTTATATTTTTTTATTTAAGAAAATCTATAAAAATGATAAATGCAGCCCTCAAAAATTGAAATGCAGTTGGGCTTTATGCTGAATGCAGGGGCGAAAATGTTGAATACAGTTGGGCGAAAATTGAACTTAAAGGCACAATAGTACTTTTACCTCTCCAGGGGGCATATCAAATGAAGAATTTTAGGGGTGGACCTATCCCTATATATTTTCCATATGAGGCGTGTATATCCAATGGACCCTTTTTTTTCATGTTTGTTTTTACTTTTTAATTATTTTCTTTTTCTTTTTTTCTTCTTTCTTTCCCTTACAGCACTAACTTTTCTCTCTTTTTTATAGCACACATATGTCTATTAAATTTTATCACTAAAATAGATATATAGATTATGATTGCAATTAGTGGAATTTTTACATTTTCGGTGTTCCATTATTTTGATTTTGTACATTTCATACATGGTTACTAATTTCTAATTTTGGTTATCATATATTTCTTTTCAATATCCCCGTGCAATACTTATATTTCTTTTCAATATCCGCCCGTGCAACGGACGATGCACTTTTTTGTAAAAAGATGGTACTCAGAGACCAAAAAATATGTTGTCCTTACCTACACCCCATCTAGTTTAAACAATCTCACACATATCTTTCTCTTAATTTAATATTAGCTAACACTTAACATGTTTGACCTTTAATTTTTTTTAAATTCTATTTTTACCCTTAATGAATATTGAGTAAATTATATTGGTCTCCCCTAAAGTTAAGTCTAATTATATAGACCTCTGTATTTTTTAAATTATTACAAAAGCCTCACCTAATGTTTATTTCTAACTCAAATTTGAATTAATTAACTCAATAACTAATATTTCTGAGGGTTGGTTTCTTGTTGACATCAGATTCGGGTCCGCTACCCTAACAGTCTGTTGAGTCACCATAATTTACATTCTTCCATCAATATTTGACGGACCAAGGGATGAGGGCCCTGAAGGCAAGGGATTTCGCCTTTTGCTACAATAACCAATATTTCCATATATATTAAAGTAATTTTTAAAAGAACAAATATATATTTTTTGTGAATTGATTAAAATATAAAATGCAAAAACACATTGATTTGTACAATGTAGTACCAGCGCGAATCAAGCAAGTACAAACTATGCTTTGAAATGACGGCTCAAATCCTCAAGCCATACGTAGTAATAGTTTAATAATAAAATAATAATAATACGCCATAATAGTGTTTGGGAAAATTATAGTTTTCACCCCTTAAGTTTGTATTGATTTCATATTTGATCCTTCATGTTCACAAACAACACGTTTGGTCCCTCATGTTTCAATAATTTAATATTTTTAGTCTTTTTCGTCAATCTATCAGTTAAGACAGTGATGGGCACACGCTTGATTATGTTAGTACTAACGGAATATTGACATAAATGACTAAAAATGTTGAATTTTTAAAACATGAGGGACCAAATATAGAATCGATACAAACATGAAGGACGAAAACTGTATTTTTCCCATAGTGTTTGTTTTAAATCCTCCATTTTCTACATCATTTTTAATATAGTGGATTTTTTTAAAATTCTCATCTATGGTTTTATTTGGCAGACAAGTTTTCTCGTAAATTTTATGTCATCTATTTCATCATTATGGGCAATTACAACCACCTTCATAAAATGTAATTACAATAAAAACTCATTATTTTTTAAAAATTACATTCAGTCCCTCAAGTTTGTAATTTTTTTACATCCTCCCACCTACAAAAGGGTGCCAAATTGGAAAAATCTACAAATTGCAGGGATGAATATTATTATGAAAAAAATGAGGGGGTTTTCGTAAATAGACCTTATCTCGGGGCGATTGTAATTTACACTAATATCATTTCATACTAGTTCATGAGTCATGACACGTCAATTTTTTTCACAAACGTAATAAAATTAATTAATTGCCCATATGTCAACGTATTGGGGAAAATTAGTTAGGGAGAGCTGCCAAAGATTGAAAAATTGGTTATAATATCAAGCTTCCCATACCCAAATTAGATAGTTGTAGCTAGATTTGTTGAAGAATAAACCCCCTAACTATATAGTAATTTCCACCAACCCCCACCCATTACATAAATAAATAAAAATCATCCAAATAAACACACATACAAATCTGCAAATTGCTTAGCTATAGCTAAATAACAATTGATTATCTCAATAAGATCGAGATTAAATATTGATCATTGATTTGCATCATGGAGCTTGCAGCTGGTGGTGCACAAGAAATTGAATCCACCACTAATATCCAACCACGTCCGTTCAAACCCGAGGAAGAAGAAGAAGAAGACGACGACGAAGATCTTTTCGAGATAAATCTTGAAATAGGTAATAAGATCCCTCCACCACAATATTATTATTGGGAGAGCTATTTTAATTTAACCGCCTCGAGCAACGCGCTTCTTGCTAATTGCTTGTTGCCGATTGCCGACGTTTCTTGTGCTGTGCCGACGGTGATGAGGGCATACGACGCCTTCCTGCCGCCGGTGACCGGCGGAGAAGAGCAACCGCTTGCTTCGTTTTCCGAAGCATTAATGATGTCACAGTGTTACAAGGAAATGGAAGTATGAAGATTGTTTTACAAAGTCCTATATTAATTAAGCCAATTTATATGATGGATATATATTTTAGTACTTCAAAATTAATATGCACCAATTATTTGGGTTTATTGCATTTAGCATCTATGCTTTTGCTCTAATTGTCCAAAAAAAAAAAAATTCATGCCTAATAAATATTATCAATGTTTTGGTACCTGGACCGAACCTTGAACCGCGAATCGTTGCCTAGCCCGGTCCGGTTTGACCGGTCACACCGTAAAATGGGAGCCCAACTAAAAATTTGGGTCTTTTTGTACAAAATAGTGCCCAAAATCGGGTTTTTTAGCCAAAGAAAATAATAAGATGGCTAAAACGGCATTTTTTTACTATCTAATTAACAAAAAAATTAAATCAAAAAACCGAACTTTGAAATTGGAATTTGGAACATGCTTTCACGTATTTCGACTTCAGTCCTAGTACAAAAGTCACGAAAGGCTTGATTTACGTTTCAATTGATATGAATAATGAATTAATGTGCATAAAACAATGTAGACTTTATTTATTATAAAAATTAAAATATAAATAATTATTAAATAAAAAATAAAAATAAAAACCCGGTTGAACCAGTTTAAACGTGACCCAATAGCTTGTTCGGTCCAATTTTCAAAACATTGAATATTATTATATGCAAAATCACATGTATGATTCAATTTTAATAATTAGTAAACTACCCACCATTTGGAGTCGTGTGCTAAAAAAATGCATTTCGGCTAATTTTTGTTTATAATCTCAACACGAGGGTTTTTTTGTAGCAATGTGGTGTAAAGTCGGGATTAAATGCAATAAACTAATCCCAATCATTTACGTCTAAAAATGTTGTTTTTTGCATTCCAATTTCTCATTTCATAATAAAAAGTGAGCTTAATTTCACTTTGCACCCTTAAAATTTACCATTTTGGCACTTTGCACCCTCAAAAATAATTTGTGGCACTTTACAACCCCGGACCATGTTTAATCGTTCAAACTGCACCTTAGTTTATTTTTGTCCTTGATTTCCATTGTTGACCTATTTTCTGACTGTAAATAAAGTCATTTTGAAAATACATTAGCCCTTTGCACCCTAAAGAAAAAATCAATTGAACAGACAAAAATGACCATATTGACGATAAAAAAATAAGTTAACGATGAAAAATTAAGTTAAAAAAATATACTAGGGTGCTTTGAACAATTAAACATGTTTTAGTGGTGCAAAGTGCAGTTAATTATCTTCAAGGGTGCAAAGTGCCAAAGTGGTGCATTTCAAGGATGGAAAGTGAAATAAAACCTAAAAAGTGGCAATATGAGATTAATTGAAATACAAGTTCCATTCCATATCCGGACATAAGGAATATTTACTTTCGTAAGCAAGTGAAAAGCTATTAAGGGTGAGGACTGAGTAGTGACCGAGTCAAATCGTCAATATTGTGATGATTTATCTTAGAAAAATTGGAACCTAGCTAGATTTTATAGAGTATTATTTGCCATATTGCTAAATTATATTATATTGTAGCTGCTGCTTATGTTTGACTTGTAGATTGTACTCTCAATTCACTCATTTCAACTCGAGTTATAACCAATGAAAAGAGTGAATTAATAAATGATTCAAAACAATTATTTTACGAATTATGGTTATAATTGAAAATAAAATTCATCCCTTTTTAGGCCATTTTCAACTTGTCAAGATGGATTAATATTTATCATAATTTAATCTTCCAAGGAACCGTCTAGTTGAGCCGCGGTTTGAACCGGTTTTTAAAAAAGAAATATATATATATATATATATATATATATATATATATATAATATATATAAATTATTAGTAAGATACCCATCCCTACGTATTTTGTTTAAAATATCCCTCATAGTATAATTTTCATCAATTTCATCCATTATACTCCAATTTCATAAATATTGCACATTGACTCCGGATTTGAACAAATATATTACATTAATCCCATTTTCATAATTTTTCAAAAAAATATTTTTTAGAAAATAATACTTTTTTGAATGTTGTTTCCGACCTGATTCTAGTGTTGTCCGGCGGATATAGCGGTCAAAGGCGGCTGACCGGGGTCTTCAGCGGTGGCAATCAAAATTGGGGTCAAAATTGGTTAATTGGTGAAATTGGGATAATTGGGAAAATCATAAATTGGAGTTGAATTAGGATTTCAAGGAGTTGGGCTAATTTTTTTATATATAAAAGAGTTTTACTTATTTGAAAATAAGTTTGAATGAAGTGAATTTATTTACAAGACAAAAATATTGGATATCCATTTTTTAATAAAGTGCTCTTATTATGCGACTACCTGTCTTTTACCCTTTATTCTTACCGGAGTACCCATTTTTTTTGAAAATCAAACAGTGATTAATAGAATACCAAAAGTTGATTTATGGCTATTGTTCCATATATTTGCATGCATATTTTCTGTCACAGTATATTTTATCCAATATATTTAAACAAGTATAACATCTACAACAATGGAAAATTATAGTCTACGGTTTTTACCCTTTAAATTTGTACTTATTTATATTTGGTCTCCACAATAACAAAAAATTCACTTGGTCCCTCGTGATAATTTAACATCTTTGGTCATTTTCATTAATTAATCGTTTGTCCATCATCAGTTAAGGCAGTGACGGGCACCTTGATTCTATTAGGACTAACGAAAATGACTAAATTGAACTTTTAAAACATGAGGGACCAAATGTGTTTTGTCGTTACGTTAAGTAACCAAATGTGAAATCAGTGCAAAACTTAAGTGACGACAACTATAAAAACGCTGGATTCTCCAAAAAGAAAAAAAGAAAAACTAAAAAAAAAGACATCAAAATGATAAGAATGACGTATCGGATATGAAAAAGAGACATAATATATATAAGATAAATTACGGTCACTCCTTGAGGTATGGTCAAATTAAGAAAAACCTCTCTTGTTTGGGTAATTACTGTCATCCCCTCCTTTTAAATATTTATACATAAAATTTATGTAATTTGGTTATTTACCAAACCAAATTGTATGTATATGTATTCATTTCGATGAACGATATGAAATGTTGGCGTGCCAAAGTTTCAGTTTGGTTTTACCGATTTAACATTCCTAAATTTACCTGTAGATGAGTTTTTCGTAAGATAATACATAATTGAGGGTGGCTATAATCACGCAAACATGAGGGGTTATCGTAATTTGATTATAACTCATGACTGAATGTAATTTGCCCTAATACATAATATTATATATTTTTATATAATATATATACATAGGTTGTCTTGTCTCCTGCAAGTAGTGTAGAGAACCATAGTACAAACAGTGGAAAAGGCAAAAGCAAAAATCAAGAAAATCGACCAATAATATTTGAGCAAAGATCTGATTCATGATTGCCCCCTTTGAAAATAAAGCCATGAATCATGATCATATGTCGACGGACGACTGATTAATATTGTATGAAACTGAACCCTCAAACAAGAAAATAAAGCATTCAAGATTCAATGTCTTTTATTGGTAATAAAACTAATCAACCGTACGTACATCCATCCATCAGAGTTTCCTCAGTTTCATGAAAAATAAACTCATTCATGCACGTTATAATAATTTATATATTATAATATTAATAATAATAAGTGATCATCTTCCAAAAGAAGGTTGAATCAGCTTTATTATGGCCGGGAGGAGGCGGCTGCATGCAGCTTAATATATATATTAACGCCTCCTGGCGGCGGTTTCACGCTGGGCGTTGAAGAAGACGGCGGCGACGGGGAGGCCGAGGTCGTTATCGGCGGCGAAGCGGCGGGTGTTGAAGTTGTCTCTGGCGGAGGAGGTAGGGAGGTTGGTCTTAACAGTTTGTCTGCCTTTCTGCTGGAACAGAACGAACACAAACCTATGTATTCCTATGTTGGGCCGAGGCATTTCATAGCTAACCATCTCTTTTCCTGTTTTTTTTTTTTTTAATAAAATAAATAATTAAAGAGAGTAGAGTACAACAATATATATATAGCTTTTTCATAAACAAAATTATAAATATATACGTATGTACTGTGTGTGTTAATTTGCCAAAAGTGTGTGTGAGTACAGTGCTGATATTCTTACCAAATGTGGCGTCCGTTGTGCCTGGAATGTCTGTCACTAACCTGTATACGGTATATATATTACCAATTACAAATTAAATTGGATTAATTAGTGAATAATTATATTAATTTAATTTGTAGTCTTGGCCATATATATAGCTATTTTTATTTTCGGATGAACTCAGAATTAAAGTTGGTCCTCATCATTAAATTAATTTACAGGTTTTCCAGGAGGTAATATAATATAATATTATACCTAGTTCTTGAATGTCTGGACTATGAATATAATCATTAATCAAATTCTTAGTTCTTTTTGTTTTTTTTATAAGAATCACATATTTAGTTCTATGAAAATATGTTAATGCAGTAAGTAACTAGTACTATAAATAAATAAATAAATAAATAAAAATATACCAGTGAAGGTGTTCCTTGAGATATGGATCACTAGGGCCAGGGACATCAGGGTCAGTCATAACCTGCAATATATAAATTAAAAATAAATAAAGAAATAATAAAAAAAAAAATATATTTGGAAGCACATACATACATACATACATACATACATACATACGTATAGACGATGGACGTATTACCAAAGTGAAAAAAGTTCTCATATCAGCAGGGCCTAGAATCTCAACCCTTGGTTTGATAGTAACAGCGGAAGGATAAAACTCATGACCATTAAAAACTTGTTTATGATTTGGATATGTTACATGCATTTTTGTTGTTGGGCTGAAACACTCCAATACATCCCCTATCACTCTTCCCACTACAAGCGGCTCTGACGACATTCTACTTGCCATTATTATCACACAAGAGAGATGAGAGAGAGATTATGTATATATATCTTTTCTTATTTTAAAGGGAAGAGAAGAGCCCCATATATATAGTGTTAAGGAAAGAGCAAGACCTTAAAAACTGACCCCCACCACCACACCCCCTTAATTCACCTCTCCAATTCTTATTCTAATTTATTTTTTATTTCCTCCTTTATTTTCTCAATATAGAATAGGCTTTTTTGCCCCCTTTTTCAATAGTAGAAACAGAATAAAGCACATGGTGCTAAAAGGGACGGACGGACGGACAAATAACATTTAAAATTTGTGGGGCTGAAAATCAGATCAAACTACTCGATTCGAGATCCATGGTTAAATGATCGTTTGAACCGTACCCCTAAAAAATTTAACGTTTTCTTAGTTTTGTATTAATCTTACAATATTTGCTCCCCATATTAAATGTACGTTAAGGGTCCGTTGCACTTTATTCGTGTTCGCTCGTTTAAATTAAAATTCATTCAAGTAATTGGGGTCGAATGTTTATCAAATCGAGTTCAAACACAATTTTTAAAGCTCCATACAAAAGTAAACTAACATTGAATCGTTTGACTCGACTCGACTCCATTATATATGACGAGGAAGACTACAACAAAAGATCAATCTTGAATTTTTGTTTTCTCATTTTACATTTAATATCGTGGCTTACATTTAACATCAGGATCACGTCACTACAAGAAGGAACAAAAATGGCATTAGTGATGACACCTCTGTATATGGTTACAATACTATAAGTTGTCACTAACTTGCTAATTACATTAAGTGACAACATTTCCTACGTTGTCGCTCGTATATAGCTCATTGATGTTGTTGTCACTAAATTATTATTTGTGTTATCATTATATATAATTAGTGATACGCTGGCACTACAAGAAAACATGGCATTAGTGATTAGTAAAACCCTAATTTGTGATGATATCAAAAGTGAACATTTTGTATATATTGTAGGTAATGGATCATTTTGTTACCAAAAAATAACAACATAAACATCCAATCATAAAATGACACGTGACGTTACAAATAAAACTACTAAAAAACTTCCAACTGAGTATTAATTTTAATAACCATGGTTGGAGTAGATAAAGTATAAATGAATATTAAAATATTATTATAATTATCAAATGAGTATTTGATAATCCAATTTTATTGTTTATTAGCATTGAATTTGCTCGTATTGTATATTAATTGTGCCGGCAAGTCAACATATACGAAGTTAGTCTTCCACAATCAAGTGAGCCTGTAATTGGAGGTTTCAATATTGGACGATACTTCACTAATAGTTTAAAATTTTGATTGAGATGTTCGTTCAACAGGTTCTTTCGTGAGAGTCCAGCCTCATCCTTTCAAACAATACCGGTTTTGCCATGTCTTGGGCTCATCAAAAGAACGACTCCATGGCTCTAAAATCGTATTGAAAGATTGTCTTAACTAAAAGTTTAAACTTTTAGTTGAGGTGATTATTCAACATGGTAGAAAAGCCACACCAAATAAAAGGTCCGGTCCTGAGTTTGAATCCAACGGCCATCATTTCAAATATTTCAAGTGCAAAAATTTAAATATAATTCACCAGTACTTAAGGGAACGTATTATATATATATATATTAATATCAAATAATACATTCCATCAATAATTTAAAATTTTGGTTGAGACGATCGTTCAACTCCTCTCTGACGACCTTCCATCGAGGTCGGCGTGCCATGGTAGTTGGTCGGAATTCGGATAACCTACAGCAAATAGTATTATCAAGACACTTATTTCTTCTTTTGTGTCAGGAATAAATTATAGTTCCATTGATTTTTTTAATTTTTTTTTTAATTTTGCATGTGGGCCCAACTCATCAACTTGCATTTAATTTAGTCGTATCTTTCGCTTCAACTTAGGGAAACCGGAAAAAGTAACAAATCTAGGGTTTCTTGTTTAACATTTTCCCTTATTTAGTATTGAAGAATCAATCCTTTTGCATTTAAGGTATATAATAACTAATTAGTTCAAAGATTAATTAATGGGTTGTTTCATAATCCAGGGTGTATTTATTATATATAGATTAACTCTTTTTAATTATGTAATAGAAATACATTTAAAAGGAGCTCCACAACACACATGGGACATCTCACTAGCTAGTGGAAATACATACATACAATATATATATATATATATATATATATATATATATATAGTTTCAGACAATCTTAAAATGGAAAGAATGAATGTTGATTTCTATAACAAGAAGCTAAAGCTGGTTGCCACTTTAAGAGATATGAGCTTACTTCTCCATTAGCCAATGTTTCAGCCTCACCTTTTTTTCTTATGTTTTTTCTTTTTTTCTTTTTTTTCTTTCTGAATCATTTTAATAATCTTGGCTTAGCTTTACATGGGCGAACTTCAAAAGGCTGCTATATAATAATATTCTTGATTATTTAAGTTAATTAACTATGCTCAAGAGCTTTGTTTGGTCGCCAAAATAAGATTAGCCAAGATAAGATTAAATAATCTAACAAAATTCAATTATTTTATTGAAGCTCGCGACGTCCTACAAAAGAAATTCACTGGAAGGCAAGATAAGCCATGATTAATTAATTTTGGCAGGTCGACCTGGCAATTTATTGGGGATACCGAACGTCAACAAGTCCAACTATTTAATTAATCATTACTTATCTTGACAACCAAACGGGGCCTAGCATGATATTGGCAATATTTGATTCAATATATGTTTCAGGGTGATTAATTAGTGCATATACATTCAAATCACAGGCGGCTCTCCCTTTTATAATTATGCTACATCGGATGAAATATATTGGGTTGATCTTTACTATTCATAAGCACAGACAGGGCAGGTTCTAGTGCATGGGCAACTTAGGCCTATGCCTAGGGCCCCCAAACTATATGTAATATCCATAGGGCCCCCTAAATTATGTGTATTATAAATTAGAACCCCAAAATTTGATATTTTTTTATATATATATTTTCATAAAACTAAATAAAAATATTTATATGAAAGCTAAATTGTAGAAAATATAACATAAGATCTAATAATTTTAATATTTGCACTTCAAATAATAAGAAAATACCAACAAATATTTAATTTTAAATTAAAAAAAATAATATAAGGCCCCCAAAAAAAATATTTGTCTAGGGCCCCATATGGGCTTGAGCCGGCCCTGAGCACAACAACACATATATACATCCACATTAGTGTGTAATCCTGTGTAACCTTCACCGAATGCATGTAGCATAGAAATAACTGACTCTTCATCTTTCTACTTTGTCTCCAATCCAACGAGCTCTTCAACCATTAGAAGTTTTTTTGTGCTTATAGCCCTCTCTCACCGTTTAACAATTAATAACAACAACAATCCTCGTAACCCATGATTCTTGGAGATTACGTACGCGTAAATGTTCGCTTCACGATTGGCTGTTCGAATACCAGTGTCACCTTACAATATGCATTAGCTCTTCATATTTGCTTGTATATCGCGTACTTAATTTTAATTATATTAAAACTAAATTAAAAAAATATTGTTTTCATGATTTGTCTAGTGCTTTTATGGCAATATATTAAAACTCAAAAATTAAAGTTAAAAGTACTAAATGCTAATCTAAAATAATATGTTAATATATCCATAGAAAAATCATTTTAGAAGGGGATTACCTCTCAGTAATAGCAGCCGTTGAAGGGGTTTCGAGCTCCGGATCGAGCTGACTATGATACTATCATCGAGGACATTAACACATGTGTTATACTCTGCGGAATGGCAGCTCATGAAACTGCTGTCAAAATATGGCCCTTGTAATATGAATTCTTTACCAACTGTAATCATGGCTATTGTGTCCTCTGAAATGATGGAATGAATATTATGTTTCTATTTCCTCAAAAAATAAAAAAAAAAATAAAAAGGCGTGTTTGGTGATTTTTCTATATATAAGATATTTAATAACTTATAAGCTCTTTAGAAGATATATTGTTGGAACCACGGCTGCAATTTGACGATTGATCACGAAACTTTGTGGATGAGGCTTGGACTCCATTTGTTCTCTAATTTTATAGGTAACAAGTTGCTACAATAAGAACCACGATAATATGGAGATAGGCAAGGTGAGGCGCGGACTAGGTCGCTCTCTTAAGACGAATTTCACGACCCCTTCTCTAATGAGGTGCAAAAAGGTTCCGATCGTGTCGCCTATGGGATACAACAGCCCAGCCTATCTCTCCGCTGTAACTTCACCGAAATTGCACGTTCGAGTGAAGTAGAAGCTTACACCCGACACACAACAAGAGCTCAAAATATATGTATATAGTATAGATGAAAAGTGTTTCTTTTTCTCTTCCCTCTTGTACCTTTACAAAGCTACAAAGCCACCTTTATATAGTATAAAATATGACCACCATAAAACCTATATTTAATATAGAATTAAAGGAAAAATATTGAGGTTTTATGAGACAAAATAAAGTCTTTGGTGGTTTCAAAATATTGCTCTAAATGACCTCATAAATTGGTCAAAGAAAATATTCAATAAAATATTATTTTTATTAAAAAACCCAACAATCCCCCACTATTTTAATAAAAATAAGAATAATAATAATATTTGAGCTTTTGCGGAATACTATGCATAATGAAAGTGGACAATGCCTTCAAACCTTCACTTAGTACAATATGTTTCCCGTACTAGAATCAAAGTGGACTTAGCCTTCAAACAGTGACCCTTGGGGCACGTAGAATCATATTGCACACATAATACTCAAAGTGTCCCGATCGAAGCTTCTAAAGCCAGCACATTAACGGCCATGTGCTTTACCCCATTTCTCGTGAGAGCTCTAGAGAATAGCCTATAATTCTCATAGGAAGCGGCCCCACTTCCACACTCACAAGGTGAATTTTATCAAGGATGTTTACGTAACTCCAACACCCCACCCATGCGGGCTATAAAATTCATTAAGAGATCAAAGTCTCAACCTCACAGTTCGTTACGA